CCCTCCCGGCCCTCTGCAGCTCTGGCAGGAGGAGAACCAGACCCAAGGAGGGCTCTGGAACGGGAGCCAGGAGCTGGGCTGGGAAGAGCTGGAGAAGATGCTCTTCCTCTTCGCGAAGGAGCCCGTCACCATCAGCCTGACGGCGATGTACCTGGTGTCCTTTGTGGTGGGCTTCGTGGGCAACATCATGTCCATCCGGGTGCTCACGCGGAAGCGCCGGAGCCGGGTGTCCAGCCTGAGTGCCACCCGCAGCCTCCTCATCAACCTGGCAGTGTGCGACCTCATGGTGGTCTGCGTCTGCATGCCCATCACCGTGGGCAACCTCATCTACAAAGCCTGGGTGTACGGGGACTTCCTCTGCCGAGCAGTGCCCTTCATCCAGGCTGTTTCCGTCTCCGCCAGTGTCCTCAGCTTGACCGTCATTAGCGTGAACCGGTACTACAGTGTGCACAACCCACTCAATGCCCGGTCTTTCTTCACCCAGAAGAGGATCCTCAGCACCATCCTGGTGGTGTGGCTGTTGTCCTCAGGGATATGCATGCCCCTCATCTTCATGAACAAACGGGATGAGATTGGGGTGGTGGAGGGCTTGCCTCTGGTGTTTTCCATCTGCAGGGAGATTTGGCCTCAGGAGAGGCTCAAGCAAGCCTACAACTTTCTGCTCTTCTGTGCGCTTTACTGCCTGCCGGTCCTGTTCAACATGGTCATCTGCTTCCTCACGGTACGCCGACTGTGGAGCCGCAGCAGCAAGCTTTTTCACCTGCCGGGACCCGCTCTCTGCCAGCCTCCAGGCTGAAGATCTGAAAGAAGGTAGCACAGATGGTGGTGGCCCTGGTTCTGCTGTTCGCAATCTCTTGGCTGCCTGTCTACCTGATGGACATCTGGATTGATTTCAATATCCCCAAATCCTTGCAGGATGTGACTCCTTCTCCTTGGATCCTGCAGCTCAGACCTTTTGCCCAGTGGCTTGGCCTCACCAATTCCAGCCTCAACCCCATATGCTATTGCTTTGTTGGGAACCTCTACAGGTCAGCCAAGGAAATGAAGAGCAAATACCACCAAAGAATGGTCTCTCTCTTTAACTTCTCTCTATCCGAAGGGACAACCCGTTCCTCAGTCCCAGAGCTGCTCTCTTACCAGAGTTCAATGGAGCCTGCAAGGAAAGGACCCTCCGCAACACCCACAACAGGCAGAAGATGTCGGGGAGGTCATGGCCACAAGAACAAGTGTAGATGCTTGAACTCCTGCCAGCATCCACCTCTGAACACCATCTCCAGCGAGAACACCTCCTTGTAATTCTGCTCAGGAAGTGCACCTCACACCCTCATCTGCATTGAATGACTCCTTAGAGGTCTTTCTGAACCAGATATTTTAATGATGGAAAAAAACTTTCTTCTAATCACTCCCACCACCAGTTCAAAAATAGTGAAACAAGGAAAGAAGCAAATAATGAGAGGAAAAGATGACGTATTTTAACTCAGATCAACTTTTAAGACAAATGATTTTTACTGGGGACAACTAGATGTGTAACCCGTTGCCCAGTCAACAGTCGCATAATTAGATAGATCGGCTTCCCAACGAGTGGGCTGTCCCCGCAGCTCCGTCTCTGGATGCAGAGCTGCAGTTTGGATACAGCAAGGATTTGACTGCTTGCTGCTGCTCGCCCTGTGCTGATGAAGAGCAGCAAGAAGAGGCACTCTGCTCCAAATCCGTCAGTTGTAGTTGCAAGTAGAGAAGAAATGCTAGAAACAGTATCATAAAAAGTAATAGTGGTGGAGGAATTCACACAGTTTACCACTTGAGATTTCATTGTCTGATCGTATTGTTTCACTCCTCCATGCAAATAAATTCTTCTGATGTGAAGAGACAGTGCCAGAAGTACTAAAGCAACCATCACCACTCCACGTTTGGGAATTCAGAAGGAATAATATGGCCTCGGAGGTGATTTAGGAAATGGAATAGGAAAATATTCTTTGGGCATCAGCTCTGTTTCTTACAGCTATGTTCCTGCGGGTGGAGTGGAAAGAAGCGGGTGTCTATTAACATGATTTGCACTTGAAAAACCTGGTTGTTCAGCTGTGTCTGTACCAAGAAAAAGTCAATGGCATGTGAAAATCAAAATAGAAAGTGGTTTATAGCTAATAAAATAAGAATCATCTAATGCAATGCTATTTCTCTGGGAAGGAAAGAATCAAAGTGGATTTCTGAGTATCAGAAGAAGGTTAAAACCTATTTCTTCCATCATCTCCTTTAAAGGAGGCTTTGATAAATAAATTGTATATTTTTATTATGTTAGCATCGAAAGGCCCCACTAAAGCTTGAGAATTCTATTGCGCCGAGCACTGGACGTGTATTCATAAGGAAAGGAAACCTTTCTCCCAAAGAGCTCAAAGTGAAAATACATCAGACCACGCCACAGGTGGGCCAAAAAAAAAAATACAACAAAGGCACAAAAGGCTGGAATGAAACTAGAGATCAGCCCCTTCCCTGTGCCTGCCCAATGCCAGGTGTGAGGGGATGCACGCCGTCTCCTGATGCCAGAAGAGCCCGTGCCCCGGCTGCTGGTGCACCTGCTCCTGGCACAGCAGGGCTCTCCTCTTCGCAAGTCCCAGAACGAAGACAGCAGCCATCCTGGGAGAGGATTTTGCATTTAATGGAACTCAGGCTTTCAATGACTGGGGGCTTTTTTTTTTATTACTGAACAAGTGAATGACGTTCTGGTAAATCTAAGCTTCAAATAATATCCTCCTACCTTCTAGGCAGCCTTTTGCTCACAAAAAAAAAACAGAAACAAAAAATAGCCATTCAACCCAACAGGATTCCCACCTTTGTAACGATCACACAGTAACATTTTATGTTACTAACGATCTGCCCAGAAAACAAAAGATTCCTCCTTAACAGGCAGTGCCATCTGCAATTTGTATTCTCTTTTTGTGTGAACAAAAAAGAAATTACAACTACCCAGATTTACTTTGGGTGAGAAATGGCTTTTATGTGTGCTGGGAGATGAGAACATCTGCATTTTTGCAGGTGATATAGGAGGGTACTGCTTGATCTTCTAGTAGCTTTGGAGAAAAGCCTGTGAAGATTTTATTTCCTTTTTCAGGGCATATTTTTAGGGCTGGCAAAATGAACCAGGCTGAGGAGCATTGAAAGCTTGCTCCAAATGCCCACTGACTGCAGGTCCTGGAAACAACTGTCCTCCGCCCCCAGACCAGATGTGACACAACACTAAAACTTCCCTGACCAATGTATTTAATCCTGCCCTGAATAAACCACAAAGGATGGACCGTGGAGATGCCAGACCAGCTCTGTCTCATGTGCTGGCCCAACTCTGAAAACAGCTGGGATCAAACGATGCAACCAAAGGTGCAAGAAATCCACATTTTAAAGTATCCCAGAGAAGATTTTTTTTTCTCTCAGCTCATGAACTGTTGCCTGGGTACTACCCTGACCGTCTCTGTACCCTCCACGGAGGCAGAAACACCAGGGACTGTGTGTTCTCCTGAACGTGCCTGTGCCTTCCCCTCCCGACGCAGACACCCATGCCTTTCTCCAGCCCCGCAGAGCTCCTGACCACCGAGATGCACCGTGGCAAGGGCCGCTTCCACCAGGCAAGGTCGTCTGCTCTTCACACTTTTAAATGTGTTTTCCAGTTTCATTCAGTGTTCCTGTTTTCCTATAATAAAGTTGAATCGCTCACTTTACCTCCTCTTTGTCTCACTCGGACGCTCGCTCCCTATCCCCCACGCTCCAACCACTTCTCCACCATTTCTATAGCGAAATCTCCCCCTGCCTCTGACCACTATCACTCATTGCCTGCGAGTTCCCCTCACTCTAACGACTCATTCATCTCTTCACTCCTCTGATGAAAAATCCCTTCCTGCCCTGCTGATTTGAATGGCTCCTTTTGTGCTGCAGACACCTGTTTGCGATGGAGAATGCTGATTTATTTTGCACGGCTTACCCGATGGCTGCCAGGTAGTAATGAATTTCGGTCACTCTCACCCAAGGGTAAATGAGAAGCAGTGACGTCAATGTGAAAGCCACACAGCACCCCGTGAGCTGCCCGGGCTCTGGCAGTGATGTTCCTAACCTGAACAGGTCTGCGTAACGCAGCAGTGCCTGGGTGACTCAGGCTGGCTCCGAGTGAGGTGAAACCTCGGCATTGGGGAAAAGTGGCGTTTTTCCCCTCCTATCTAATAAAACACCTCTTTACATTTAGAGCTGAGAAGACATCTGAGGGGCTTCCAGGCCACACAAGCTCCTCGTTTCAGATGGCAGGCTCTTTGACAGGCATTCAAGGGACTCCTGGCCCTGTGAGGCATCCGGAGCAGACACGGCTCTGGCTGGTGAGCACAGATGGTTTCCTCAAAGGAGCTCAAGCCGAAAGTCTTGCACTCGCTGCATGGCTGAGGAAAAGTGCTTCTCTCTAAATGCGCCCAGGCAGACTAGAAATGTGGATTTTAGACGTCTCGAGGACAATGTTTTCCCGCGGCAATGCTGCTAATGCATCTCAGTCCCACTCCTCTCCCCCACGGGTCTTTCTTCTCTGCTTTGCCATTTGAATCAATACAGGCATTTTACCACATTACCAAAATAGGATGTTTAAAACAGCTTTACTTGAAACCCTTTGCTGCAGTAAGGAAATACAGAGAATTGCTGTTCGGTAACTCTCTCTGGGACTATCCCATGATCTGTTCATGTGCTGTCAGTATCATCTCAAAAATGCTACAGGTTTATTTTCTGCCTGTGCACCACTGGAGAGATGAAAAAAGAGATTATCTTTTATATAAGGTATCATAGAAGTAGATAGAATCATGACTGGTATGTAGCCCTCGTATGGAGAATGATGAATCACTGTTTCTCATAATAAAATACTCAGGGGAAGCCAGTGAAATGGTTAGGCGGCATGTGTAAGGGCAAGGCAGCACGTGTAAGGGCAAGGCAGCACCTTTCCTCACACCGTGAGCAGCAGCTGAGCTCATGGGCAGAGGAGGTGGTGAGGGCTGATAGCAATAAAACGGGTTCAAGAGAAGACTGGACAGTTCGCAGCAGAAAGGGCCATCAAGGGTGATTAAAAACAACAATGTGACTTCTGGCTTAGAGAGCACTGGGTATATAACCTATAATTTCCACTTTTGGTCCTTCCCAGAGCACGTGCTACTGGCCACCATCGGGAGTATGATGCTGGGCTGACCATCGTTTGGTCTGTTCGGTACCCTTATTCTTACATCCCTATGCAAAAAAAGCTGCACATTAACCTGAGTCCTGTTTCAAAGAGTGGGAGCAGGGGATGATTTCAGACCTGGAATAATTTGATTGACAGTCAGACTTTGCAGGACCAAGTCATCTGGAGGTAGGACACGTTAACGCTGACGCAGCGCAGGCTGAGAAATGCTCACTCAGTCCCTCACAGAGCGGGAGCTGAGCAGTCCCCGCGAACGGTGCACGGTGCCCACTCCAGTGCAACACCACAGAAATAACAGACCCGGCTCTCGTCTAATATCCATCAGCCCTCTCAATGAGTCAGCACCTTCACCCTGAGCATCCCAGAAAGAAGGGTGTCCTTCAAAGGGAAACTGCTGCCTGTCGCTAGTTTACATATTAGTCTTACTGATGCTGGGATTCAAACTAGGATGGAAGCTGGCTGGAGAGTTATCTGCAACACCAGCAGACCCCAGCACGGTTCCCATGTCCCCTCCTGCACTCCCCCATCACAGCATGTCCCACACACAGACACATGGGCTCTTCTGACTTGAAACATCTCAAGGAACAGGGAGAGCACAGGAGTGGCCTGGGTTTCCAGCACATTGTGATGCCCTTGTTATAAAGAGCCAGAGAACTCTCCGTCAGAATTTTCTAGGAAAAATCAGCGCAGCTCAGTTTACTTTTGTGATTATATTCAATATGCAAGTAAATCACCAGAGGCTGCTAGAGGAGCAAATAAAAGAGCAGCTATGAGCAGGTACTACCAAAGAGATCACTGGAGCCCTCCGGCAAACCTCCAGGAAAGTGCTTGCCTGGCACATGTGGGGATCGTACAAGACTTTCCCAAACTTTCTGGGGATGAACTATTGCTTAGGTCAGTCCCAGGGGCACAGGAATTCAGCAGTGGCTTCCTCTGCCTGCTTAAACATCTTTCAGCAAAGTCCCAGGACTCAGAGCTGACACAACACAGCTGTAAAGTCAATGCAGGCTCAGGCAACTGCCTGCCCCCAAGCTTCCCTGC